GGCCTGCACAACTTTGAAAGAGTGAAGGGGTATAGGGCAGATGCTGGTTGTCAATGTATGAGATAAAATAGGCCCAAGACTACACCAGAGGACCTAACATAATCCATACTTCCCAACTGTCACTCATTTGGAGGTGCTGGCCCTCATTTGGAACCAAATGTCCCGTCCCTTTTTCCTCCTCAGTTGTTCCTCTGATGTATAGATATCTATGAAAAGGTTCTATTTAACTAGCAAAAGTGTTATTCTGCACTAAAACGGTTATCTTGCTTCTTAAATATGTTTTGAATGGGCTGCCTTAACACAACACACATCACTGCATGACATAATGTGTGGTAAAACATGTGCAATGACCCTCATTTTTTAAAGGGATATGGCTGGGGGAGGAGGTGTTTCTCTGGCCTCCCCCACCAGCGCCCTCTAGTGTCTACTGTGTGGTAGTGCCGGCTCTGCTCGCTACCACACAGTAGACACTGCTCTGCACAGAGTCGGCATAGCGGACCGGCCCTGGCTGCTGTGCGGGCCACATTACAAGGTCCGGTGGGCCGGATTCGGCCCGTGGGCCTTGTGTTTGCCACCCCTGCTCTAAATCCTTGGTTCTCAACTGGTGGGTAGTGACCCAAAAGCGGTGCTCAGTGTGTCCCCGCATACCTTCTCCTTTTCTAGGCGAGAGGCTCCTCAGCCTTCCCCTAGCGCAGTACTGTCAGTTTTCACGCCAAACAGCCATTCAAAATATGCTGCCCGATACCAAGTGTCAGCTTGAGGTAGGGTGAGCTAGGGCTATGGCCACAAAGGACCTCCATCCATAAGTGCATTGCTTACAGCTCCCTTGTGTGTCATGTAGAGGTGCCTGGACTGAAGTGGTCTAACATTCTGGCTCCCGGCACCTCCACAGGGTGTGCAAGGGAGCTGTACAACTGGATGCACATATAGATGGAGCTCCATCACAGCACATCAGCCCACACTGGACCTGAGGCTGAGGATCCACTCCAGTTCTCGTAAGGTAGGAAGATTGGGTGGATATTTTTTGTGGAGTGGGTGACTGTAGGGTGTGGAGACTGGGTGGATGTTTAAAAACATATTTTTTTTTGTGGAGTGCGTATGTGTGTGAGAATGTCTGTGAGTGTGTGAGATTGTGTCTGTGGTTTTGTGTGTCTGTCAGTGTTTTTGAGGGCCCGTTCACACTAGTACAGTGCGTTGATCACACGTTCTGGTGTGAGAGGTGCATTGCATTGCCATTCATTTAAATGGCACCCCAAACGCATCTCCCACCCACAGTTCTATTCCCCACATCGGTACCGCAATGCCATGCGTTCCATTGCAGTGCAACTTGGGTCACGACCTAATGACCAAGGACAAAAGTGGGTCCTGAGGTTACATAGACTCAGAACCACTGCTGTAGATGACCCAATAACTCTGCAAAGAGCAATCCGATCCATAAAGCATTTTTGTGCACATGGCAGTTGAACAAAGTCAGCAAGTTTTTCTTGTTCTTGGGGCCCTGCCAAAACATTGTGGGATGTTTTAAGGACTGTTAAAGGGAACTGAAGACAGGATCTAAAAAGAAAACCATTGCATAATAAGTGCACTGTATGACGGAGACATGCAAAAATACCATGGAACGGAAGATTCAGAAGGAACACTACATCAGCATGAAATGTGCTTTTGATCTGGTGATGTGGCTTAAAGAGAATAATAAGTTGCAAAAACAACAATAAATAACATTATATTACAAATTTCTGTGTGTCAGTATGACAAATTTGCTCCCTCATGCCTTTGTGAATGTACATTGTACTGTGTTGCCTAATCTTTTTTTTTTTTAAATAAAATTAGGGCTGCGGAAATTAACGATTAATCCCTCAATTAATCGTTAATTTTTTGGATCGATTAAAATGTTTTTAATTGGTACTCACCTCTCCGCCGGCTTTCGGGTCTTCCGGGAGTTCCAGTGACGTCAGGGACATCGACGTCACCGGACTCCTCCTCCCTTCCCCAAGTGGCTCCTGGGGAAGGGGGGAGGAGTCCGGTGACGTCGATGTCCGTGACGTCACCGGACTCCTCCCCCCTTCCCTTCGTTAGCCGACGAGAGACTGACGTGGAAGAGGAGGAAATCCAGCAGCAGGGTTTTTAGTAGTGTACTCAATCTAGCTCATCGTATAAATGTAGCTCCATTTTATGTATCCATTGCATGCATTGTGTTTCTTACAATCATTGTAGATGCTCAGATATGCTTTATGGTACAATTGATTGAACAACTTGATTTTAAACTCAGAGTGAGCAGTTTAGAATGCTTGTCCTGGTGTTATGACGTCATGTGATGATTGTCTGCAGGCAATGCTTTTTAATTATTGTCAGGAGAAGGCCAGTCTAAGCCGGGGCAAATGTGTGGAAGGTTACACAATTAGCTTGCCCTACCTTTCTATGATAAATCGGGACTAGAGGAACAGCCTTAACCCGGCATATTGATGTTAAAATCCATTAATCGAAATTAATCGATTAAAAATGTTTTCGATTAATCGATCACGAAAATTTTAATCAGTAACAGCCCTAAATAAAATACTTGTTTTTACTTTTTTTTTCATCCTTCGTTGCATCTCTGATCAGTACTTCAGATCATCTTTGTGTCAGAGAGTTACCCTGCAGCGGTCCGGCCAGGCATCGTGGCTCCACCCCCAACAGCGCTGTCTCCTGGCTTCAGGAGGGAGACGCCGACGGCCGCACGTTGCTCCGCCCCTTTCTCGCCGCTCTGTCCGATAAGACGGCGGGAGTTTCAATTGCTCGGCGTTCTAGCAATGTGGAACGTTGAGCAATTGCTCCCTCAGTCCTACACCGCTCTCCATCCTGAACTCGGGGCATTCCGGGCCAGCAGCTACTCAGAAGGACTCGTCCTCTGTCCTGCCGTCTGTCAGATCCTGCAGCTGATCTCTGCATTGCTGTCCAACGATGCCAACTACCAACCGCAAGTAACCTGTGATAGTTATGGATTGACTGCATAGCTTCATGCTTACATATAGACTTTCATGCAAGCGTATCTTGAAGTAGTTTGCCTTACAACCTATACTTAGTAACCTTCTGTCAGCCAACCATATGATAAACATATATAGTCTATAGTGCAGCCTGCTGGTAGAAGCTGTCCTAGTCAAGCATGTTCCTACGTAACTTACAGTGGGGGTTGTAGGTGCAAGACTACTACTCCCCTCAGACCCCAGGGAATACTCCCTGCTGTTTTTCTTCTACTATAATTTTGAGACACTCAGTTGTTATTATTATTATTGTTATTATTATTACTGCGGCATAAGTGACACACTCTTATGTTAACGGTGGTATATGATGTACGGGTGTTCTGCTCACACTCTGCTACAATACAGAGTGATATGGCGTCCTCAACCAGAACCACCTAATCCTTTAATTATTACATGAACGGCGTGCGACTAATCCGCAGCTGAGATCCTACACATGAATGAAACGCTTGACTGTGATACTTTGCAACCACTTTTTATATACAATTATGCACTCCAGCGATGGCTGCATGCATTTCCATGGTGGGTTTCCTGTTGGTGACAATAGTCGACCATGTCTGCATGATATGGTTTGAAACTGGAAACTTGTGTGATAAGATATTAATGCAGGGAGACATGGACAAAGTTCTTGTACAATGGAAGGACCACTGGGTATTGATTTCATGAAATACAAATAATTAAAAATATTGAAAATACACATAATTGTACATCATACAAAGAGTCTTGGGGAGGATGATGTTAAGATAAAGCAGCAGGTTCACTTTAATACCCTCCTTTTTAGACACATATGTTTCCACTTTTCACTCCCCCAATGCTAAACTCAGCTGCCAGAAGCTACTGTAAAGGAAACACCACTCCAGGCTGACTCCCATGATGGACTATAATCTCTATACAAATTAGTAACCTAAACATGAGATTGTAGTCCATCACAGGAGTGATCTTGGAGCGGTGATTACTTTACAACACACACAGGGCAACAAAGTAGCCACCCTCAGAAGGAAGGACAGTGTCAGCACCAATGCAGAGATGATTTGAGGATCTACAGTTGAGTGATACACAAATAAGATACATTTTTGTTAATTGTTAAGGTACTTCAATGTACTTTTAAGATTTCACTCCTGAGTTTAGTGTTTAACATTTTGTAGCTGGCAATTTAATCACTAGAGTCACTGGTGATTTGTTACTGCTACAAGTGAAACTAGTTCTACAGCATTGATTGGATGTGCTCTAATACAAATCCCTTTCTTTCAGAGATTTGTAGCTAGACCACAGAGGTGAATGCAGAGTGGTCGTCGCTGGCGAGCTGCTCGATGACATGAAACGCTGCTTCAACTCTATTGGTTGAACTTGATGGACTTGTGTCTTTTTTCAACCTAACTATGTAACTATGTAGCTATGCTCAAACTCAGTCTCTGGCCAACTTAGTTACTAATTGCTGTAAAGTTACTGAGTTAGCATTTCCATAGATAACTATGATTTCCTTGGCGAGATATCACTCATAAAAAGGGGATCTCTGAAAAACAAATCACCCATCTGACATGGCAGTATGAGTTACTGCTAAGGGGTTTGCATCTATTTAGAACAGATAGGAATTAGTGTATTCCCCTATATTTCCAAAATAAAGTACAATTATTGCACATCTAACAACCATAATAGTGACATCTAACCTTTATTGCGTTGTATAAACCACAACATGTGTTTCATACCATTTAAGACACTATACTAAACAAGCATGGTTTGGCAAAATCTGTTCTAACACCTACTATATAAAGCTCTGTGCTCATACAACAACACAAGCCTCGCAATAAAAGAAAACAAAATGTTAATAATACTTTACTGCACCACCCTAGAAAGAAGAAACTAGCCTATCCTTGTTGGCAAAGACTCCTATCTTAAAGCTGAAGTCCATTCACATACCAAATACAGCCCCAAAAATCCATCTCTCTCTAGAAAGCATAGCACAGCAGGAATTTGTTTACTTACCTTTTTCCTGTGGAGTGATATTTCTTTTTTTTCCCATCATCACCGAAAACAATCTGTGCATCAGGAGCACCCTGGAGGTGAGGATCAGCTGGACACCCTTCATCATTTCCTAAGAGATGTACAGTGTCCTTTATCAGACACAGGCTCTCCCAAGATGGCTGCCAGAGTCCATGGCAGATGATACACTTGTGCCATGCCTGATTTCCTCATTTAGGTAGAACAAAAGGGAACCAATTCCCTTAAAAATGATTCCAATTAAGTACAGATGAGGATATAATGATAGAAAGGGAGAACTACACCAAAATCTCACTAGAGGGAAACAATGGGAGAATAACATCCCAGTACCTTGCTGCTCTCCCACAGTTTGTACACAAAACACACTTCACTAAGGGGGAGATCGGTTCTGGGGGAGCATGAATAAATATACATTAGTCAGCTCTGACAGTGGTGGAGTTCATGTCCCATAAGATCATATGGAGCAGAAGCACATTAGAGACACTTCTATTTAGGCACTATATGCTACGGGGCTGGGATGTTCTGATATTATCTGTTAAACCAGATATACAGCATTCTGAATTACTGCCGCTCTTGTTTGTTTACAAAGGGGAAATTTGTCTGCTGTGCTTGGCTAATCACATTATATTGTGCAGCTTCTGTGTTCCATAGAAAAACGGGCCCATTCACACTTGCCTGAAGAAACTTCCTGTGTGGGTTAGTGTGAGCTGTGTACAGGTGAATGGGGCAATGCTTTGTGCTGTTTCAGCTCATTACATGGTGTTCATTTCTCCTTTTTTGAGGTGTTGTGTTGCAGTGACTTCAGGTGAGGTCCGCTGTGTTCTTTTTTACATGGCTCTGTTAAGAGGAGCATTGAGGGACAGGAGCTGGCTGGGGATAGGTGGAGCCAGGGTCAAGTGGCGAGGGGGGGCACACCAGGATTGTCTGTTGCCCCTTTCCAGCAAGAGCATCCCAGGTTGCTTAGCAACCTGTGACGCTTACTGATGTCACTGGTTGCCAGGAACTGAGCGGGATACTCTGGCTGGTGTCCTGCCCAGCTCCTGCCAACTAGTGATATCGGTGAGCTGGACAGGACGCTGGAGCCAGAGGTACCACCAGCATCAACATCACACCCTCTTTTAACTTTCACCCCCAGCACTTCCCCATCCCCCTGGTAACGTGCATAACAAACACCCCCAAAACCACCCCAGCGCCTCAGGCGGTGAAAAGTGTAGGAACCCACCTGGGTGGAGCAGAATAAAGAGAGTGCATACTCTCTGGGTAGACAGAAGCACATGAAGGCACAGCTCTTTACTTTTCAGCAGCGCTGACGTCAGTACTACCCAACTGCAGGGGGCAACTGTTCCCCCAGTGTACAAAGAACAACTGGGATGAATGGTCACCTAAAAAGGACTATGCTGATGTAGACTTTGAAGAGGTACTGGGAGTGAATTCTTCAAACCAGAGATGGAAAGAGGACGATTCTGCATCACTTAAAATGTTCTTTTTGTTTTTTTGGGTAAGGTATACAGACATCCCAACTCTCCCGGATGCTGCGGGAGTCTCCCGCTATTAGATAGCGGCTCCCTGACGCCCGCATGTGAAACAATATATCCCGGAAAGGTTAACTCGCAGTAAACCTTTCCGGCAACCTGTAGCAGTGTCCCCTTCTCGGCCGGTCCTCTGACTCCTCTAGAACTCCGACTGGTGACGTCACGTCCTATGACTTGCCAGTCGGAGCTTTAGCCCACCTGCAGCTACTGCGCGTGCGCCAGCCTTACTCGAACTACCGCCACTGCGCCTGCGCGGCATCACATGCCACTGTCAGAAGCCTCTATTCCCTAACTTTCCCTTTACTTCCTGAGACACAACAGGAAGTTGAACAGGAATACAAACCCCACTCTTACCAATAACCAGAAAAAAAACATTTTGTTCAGAGAGACTTATGCCAGGTTGTGCTGTAAAGGTTAGGAAGATGAAGAGATGCCTGGTTATGCAAGGTAAATTCTCATAGCCAAGTGCTCATTTATGAAGAGCTGGGGCCACACATTCACGGAGATGGGAATCCTACAGTAGTAATAATAATAAAAGTAAGACACATTTTTAAAAATGGAGAGGAGTATTTGGCAGGTAAGACAATTAAACTGTTTTTTTTTTTTATTAGCTGTGCATTTACCTGCTTGTCTGTCACTATGTCATGGGTGGGCTAACTCTGGCCCTCCAGCTGTTGTGGAACTACAAATCCCATGAGGCATTGCAAGATTCTCTCAGCCACAGGCATGACTCAGAGACAGATGGGATTTGTAGTCACCACAGCTGGAAGACAGGAGTTTCGCACCCTTGTTCTATGGTGACAGTTTAACAATAGCTTGTCATCTCTCTGAGTTTATTACAATGTTTTGAACATTGAATTTACATTATTGCTAGTTTTTTAAATTAGTATTATTATAATTATTATTATTATTAGTCTTTAGAAAAAATTACCATATTCCATGGTAGAATCTGGGGAAAATGACTATATAGTGACTATAATGACTATAAGAAACAGTATAGATTAGTATGCTGTACTTTGCATCTGTTCTGTACAGCCATGTACTGTATTCTTGCTGCTGGCATCACTTAAGACATTTGATTTTTCGGGGCACTTACACCTACAACCATTAAAGATAACAATAATGTACAAATAAGGCGCTTTATGGCTCTACACCTTACCAGTAGTGATGGGCCGAACACCCCTGTGTTCGGTTCGTATTCGAACACCCGAACGGCTGAAAGGGCCTCGTCCCCACAACCCTGACCCGGTGGTTGTGGGGGTCTGGTGGCAAGGGGGCTTATTTGCATCGGGGTACCCCTTTCATTAAGGGGCACCCAGATGCCGCCCCTGTCCCTTGTGAATGAGTAAGAGGTACTTGTACCCCTACCCATTCAGTAAAAGGTTAAATAAAATAGTTATTAAAAAGTCCAGAATTTTGATAAAATCCTTTAATTGAAAAAAAAAATGGATCCACCAACGTAATCCATGGTCAATCACGGCTTCCAGCCTTGTCCACGACGATGACGAAATAAAAAATAGAAATATATATATATTTTTAAACGCACTCCCGTCTTCTCACCAACGACTCCCGCCGCATAATGGCATTTTGACAGATGCAGGCAAAACATAAACAATTGGGCGGGGCTAGCAGTGACAGCTAGCTCTGCCCAATTGTGTAGTTTGCCGGCATCTGATAGGTGATCATGATTGGGCAGAGTCATCATGACTTTGCCCAATCATGACTCCAGATGAGTACTGAGCCCTGATTGGGCAGAGTCTTGCACCTGACCTGATGGCTCTTTGCAGTATGTGACGTTGCGCGGTGGAACAGACCGCGAACATCCCATAAAGTTCGTCGAGCGGCCGATGTTCGATTCAAACTCATATTCGAATCAAACCGGCGGACCATCCCTACGTACCAGATCAAAAGGTATCTTTACATCACTGGATCCAATGGTAAATCCACATTTGCCAGATAGTCAATCCAGACCTAGGTACCAGTGCTCATTTAGTAAAGATCAGCTACATCCAAGAAGATTCTGGAAGGTTATTTGGCTCCTGTCTAAATTGGCCCTGCATGTATGCATGGGATATAGGGACCTTAGATTGTAAGCAGGGCGTCCCGGGGCTGGGTGACACCCTGAGCGGTTACCGGGTGTCACCCCGCCGAG